ATACAATTTTGCGTTTTCCCATACCCACGATTATGCAATGAATATACTAAGCAGACAGCTTCCTCGCCATCCAATTCACTTAAATCCATTTAATATCATCCATTTGTATCGCGATTAAAAAATAATATTACATAATATTTTGATATACCAATATTTAATCCATGCTACTATCATCATATTGTAGCTTAACAAGCCATGAAGGCCCAATACTGACTAAATGAGATGATTTCTTGACTACTATGTGGTATACTGTTGCTACTACTATAGTGTTACAAAAGTATATTAATAACTCGATTGAATAACGTGACTAATATATTTTTGTATAAATGGTATTATAACTTATAATAATAATATATAGGATATTTGAATAATATTGAAAATTCGCTGCCGCCACCGCTGGCAATGCGTGCAGGTCAGCGGTAGGCATTTGTTGTATACCTAACCAAATATATTATTACACCGATATATATGTACCGTAGGACCATCCCTAGGCTTCGACCCTTATACATTTACGTTTTATAAATTCCATGTTAACTGCGTGTCGCCCCTTGCACCGTACCTTTCGACATATTTTTACGTGCCTAGGTATAACGAACAATAGTGTAACATTATACTGTATACAGTATACGGTACATAATAATGCTATTGTCATTGAGGGACCCTCGGTCGTTTTGTCATTTTTCACATGTACCTACCACCGGCCGACGACGGTTGTGTTTGGTTGGCAGGTGATAACGTGTCGAACGGGGCCCGGCCGTCGCGCCGGTAACCGTATTATAATATGACGCGGTAAGGGGGAGCCACGACGTTCGTAGCGCTGTGCAGCTGCCTGCTTTCCACATGCCATTATCTGGCATCGGCATACATCCCGCACCCGGCACCGCCGTCCGGCCGCTTCAAATTACTTTTGTCATTCGGACTTGTAGTACACATCGACGACGGTTTACAAATATTATTACTGTTAATGAAAAAGTACTAACACCTATCCGGTCATGTCCGGTTCGAGTTAATTCAACATTTTAACAATTTACTATTTAACGCGACCATACCGCTAGAATTATTGTTCACAGTCACATTGCCGTTTTGCCGTCAACGCCATCCATACGTCTCGTCGGTGAGTACCTACCAATAGTTGTTACAAAGTTATTATTTTATACCCACCAAAAAAAAAAAAAAAATGACATGCGATTCGAAAGCGATTCTGATTAGTACTTAAGTTTTTCCGACTTGATTAGATTTCAAAATGACATAATATCGTCACTAGGTAATACTATGTTTTTTTTTAATAATTCGTAGATAATGTGTTACCTTTTATGATCCATGTCGTTTAATCGATAGCCTTAAGCGGCCCTCACACACATCATTATTATTGACAGTATAGATATATATATATTAGTACTTCTTTTAAAGAACTCCGCTATGTTCTTAATTTTTTTTATAATACATTGTATTGCATCTACTTCTAAGCTTTTTTGTACTGAAATATTAAGGACATGAGCAAAACATGGTACATGTCTCCAAATGCATAATTAAATAGCAGCTTTAATGTTTGCTGCGTTATCACTAACAACCGCAGATACTAAATTTTCAATTTTCCACTTTCCAACAATATCTAGAAGGAATTTTTACATTTCTAGAGCAGTATGATGTTGTGTAAAATGAAAACAGCCAAGGAGATGTGCTACTAATTTAGACTCTGGATTAATATAATGCGCAGCAACAGCGATAAAGCTTTGGTTGTTAACTGATGTCCACGCATCTGTCGTTAGGCAAACAGCAGTTGCTTTTTCAATTTGACACTTAATATTATCTAAAATTCTAATATATTCTTGGTCAAGAATACTCTTTGAAATAGTTTTTCTTGTGGGAATTGAATATCCAGGGGCTAATATAGATATTAGCTTACAAAATTCTTTTTCGTCGACAATAGAAAATGGATGGAAGTGGTAAAAAATAAATTTAGCGAGCTGCATATCAATTTGTTTAGATTTTGATATCGATAATGGTCTTGTTATAAAGTTAGAAATATTACCTTGTCTTTTGCTCAGTGTGGCAGGGTTAGCCAGGTTTTTTTGTATTACTGATGTTGAATTAGACGGAGCGTTAGTAGTAGAAAGAGCGTTCTCTGGCAAAGGATCATCTGGATCATGGTTCGGTTTGTCGAGGCAAGGTTCCTGGTTCTTTACTCTATCTAGAGGTACCGTATAATGTTTGGTTTTCATATTCCTAACAAGGTTGCTAGTTGAACCACCTGTAAAACTTATTTTTTGAGAGCAGTAACCACATTTAGCAACATTCAGTTTGTTTGTTGAAAAGTGATCCCATATATGGCTCCTTTTTCTATTCATTATGTAATGGCATTCATAATGTATAACACAATTGCCAATACATACTCGCTAAACACCTAGGCGGCCAATTAGACTCTATTTTTTTCAAATGTCCCAGGATGTATGTGAGTAAGCTTAGGAACCAATCTTATTTTGAGTTGACTATCTTCATTATAAAATTGTTCGACGTAGATACTGTCAGTAATTTCATCACCAATTTTTAAATAATGTTTGAAAAACATATTTCTTGTTGATTTTATCAAGTTTAGAGGATCAAAAATATACATAATTTTATTGCTATCAACTATAAAATGAGTTAAAAAAATCAAAATTTTAAACTGATAGTACTAAATAGACGCCCTTTCAACATGACCATCACGTTTTTGTTTACTTTAAAAGAGATCCTTCTATTTTTATCTATTCTGTGGTAGCGTCCCTTACAAAAGTATTAGTTAGACAATACAAACTACTAAGAGAATTGGAAGTGCATTTTTTAGTCTCTTAACCCTAGAATGGTAACGATAATTTACAACACACTATAGGTAAAGATGCGTAAATACACTTAACAAACTGATAAAAGCATATCTAGAATTGTGAAGCGATATCATCAATAATAACAGTGTGGCCACATTTTTAATAAAACGTATGCGTAAAATTTACGCACATTACCATTCTAGGGTTAAAGATTTAATGTATAAATAGATACAATAATGTAATTTAGTTCATTAAAACACGCCCGGACTATGGTTTTTTCTTTGATATCTAATTAATTTTTTAAGATAAATAAGATCAAATAATTTTTCTTGAGTACCTAATGTATTTGAGTTAAAAATATTTAATATATATATATATATATATATACATATAAGTATAGATTAACTATAATTTCTTTGACTAAAGGAAATGGAAAAAAGTATATTATATAACATAGTTGATGTTTTAAACTAAGTGTAAATTATTAGTTTAAATTTTAGCAGAATTTGTAAATGAAGTTGTTCGATAATTATAATCAGAAGTACCTAATCATATATATTGTACACACTATTGATTTTCTCTATCAGTTAGAAATATCATTTGATATTTCTATTGTTTAATTCAAAAAATAAGAAAACAAACTGTACTTAAGTTAGAATTATAATTTGAATTAGTTTGAAATTAATTTGTGTTTTTCTTAACTGTGTTTTAAAAACTGAACATTATTTTTAGTCATCTAATATAGTACAACTAAAAACAAATAACGACTGTTAATTATAATAATAGTCAACAATTCATGCTGCTAGATAATTCTCATTAAAAAAAAAAAAACTACCATAACGTAGCACATATTTTAATCTCCATATGTTTGGAATGTATGCTCAGAAAATAACATAAATTGTTTTCAATGATAACAAAAAGTGGGCAGTATTTTGACAATATGGACATAACGCCATGTGAAGAGTACGCACTTTATAAATATTTTGCATGTCGATTTGGCAACGACTAAAATTTAGCGGACAGTATTCTGGTAATATAGACGTATTGTCATATCAAGAATACACGCTTTAAAAAATTGCCTTTGACTATGACAACATTGTCAACAACAGAATAATCAAAACTTTTGTCTTGTTACTGTTACGTTATGGGTAAGATATAATGTATACAATTTCTAAAACTATGAAATTGAGAATTGGTTAAAAAAAAAATCTTTATAATATAATGTTATATATATTTATTAAAGACAGTAACACAGTTTAATTTCAAATTTCATTTTGGTGTAATTAAGAGTTTATCGAGTGATAAAAGAAATATATGTTTATTAACGGCATTACCTACAGTAATTGTAATAATACTTTATAAAACATATAGTTCAATTTCAAATATCAATAAGTACAATACTATAATAATTATAAATTAAAAAACAAATGATTGAAAATAAGGTTTTTTTATATTATCAACAACTTCATTTAGAAAATAATTAACACTTAGAATACAAATTCTAGTTTTATAGGTTTTGTGTTTAAATCATTGACTTTTATTTTATATATATTTTTTTCCCTACAGGCATAATCATAACCACACAATTATTTTATATTAGTGTGTATATGGATATGTTTTTATAATTAAATACCTCTATTCACAAATATCAAAATAATTATCTATAAAAGACCATAGTCTAGTAGTGTTGACGTTTGTATTATCATAAAATCGGATTATCTAGTAGAGTTTAAGGTCATCTGCAGAGTTGAAACTGGCTATAATTAAAACAAGAACCGAGATATCCATTTAAAATACTAAAAACAAACAGGGAGATGAGTTTGTTTTCAATTTTGATTTTCAAGTTTGATTCAATTTAGGACATTAAGATTTACGCAGTCAAACGCTTTATGAAAGTCTGTATAAATAACATTGACCTGAAGTCCATTTTCATAGTAAATTCGTTTCAGTAGACCATCCTGATCTGAATCCGTGTTGATTTAAAAATAATAAATGCTTTTAAGGTTGTGATATAGATTTTTTGGTTAATTGTTCAAAAAGTTTAGGTAAACATGAGAGCGAAAATAGGTCTGTAATTAGTTATTGAGATTTTAGAACACTATTTGAATATTGGAATAATAAAACTTAATTTCCAGAAAGATGGATGTATACCAATAGTTAGAGACCAATTATAAAGAATACGAATTGGGACAGAAAAGCATATTTACAATATTTAAGTAGTGTCGTATACAGTATTAACTCGATACGCACAACGTTATACCTTTTAAAGATGTTATACTAGGATCCTTTAAAGTTGATCAAAGCCAATGCCCAGCCGTTTAAACCTTCCGGAACTATACTTCAGCCAGACGACTAACCCACACTAAGTAGTAATCAACCAGACGCCTAATACAGGTTTAATCGTAGTTAGGGACTATATTCAATTATACCTAGTGCAAGATTAATGCCTATTTCCGTAAGTATAGATCTTTAAAGAATAAAGACTATTTGCAATTTTGATTACTAAAAAGGTTGTCCTAGCACACGTTATTTAAAAGGTAAACTTTAACTCTTAAAAATGAGACACTTAAAGGTAACGTTAATAAATAAATACGCAAGTCGAAAATATACTTTAGAAATAAAGTATAATGGCACAAAACAACAGTCGATACAATAAGTTCTCCACCTAGTTAATGCTAAGCGGAGAGACGTCCTTGGCTTGTTTTACATTCGTCTTTTATAGTCAAAAATAGTTAATATTGTTTTGCTTATTTTACATTAAGTTAAAGTGGGTCATTTGAATGTTTTGCCGAATTAGCATTATTGTAATACAGTACAAAATATTTCATAATTTGAACATATAATTTGTTTTGCTTAATCTATTTATTTAAATCTACTCTGTACTACAGTAGTATTTCTGAAACTCCATCAGGGTCGGGACTAGGATTTGTGCTTATTCCACCCAAGCTAATAAATATTATAGAGAGGGAAAACTGGATATTAGGTAGATCAATCCATATACGATAAAGGAGTAGTAAAATCTTTTAGATCAGTACTGTCTTTTGAGTACACAGAGCTAAAATAACCCTTAAATAGTTCCAATATTTTAGGGCCATATTGATTTATGAATATTATTAAGTTCTATATCAGAAGAGATATTATTATTTTTCTTTAAATTTTTGATATAGTTCCAAAATAACTTAGGGTTTTGCGAAAAAATAAATTAAATATAATTAATATATGAATTACAGTCTAATTTGGATCTAACTTTGTATAATGTTTTAAAAAGAATGCTACTGATTTGTATTGGAAATATCTATAGTATAATTTTGGGTGCTTACAAGCGATTTCCCTGAAGTCGTCAACGCCGTACGCCCCGGCATAAATTCGCTCCATATTTCTATAGCTGTATGCCAAGCCTGGGAATGACATACAACAACGTAGGTCGCTCATTGCACCGCTGTCCTCTAGAGACCATTCGTCTACATACGTTTCCTCTTCTCTTATTATTATTAATTACATACTTTTTGATTCGCTTTTATCTTGAGAATCGTATGCTGAAGACGAACGACCAGTTTGTTTTTCTTCTTTACTATCCTCAAATATATCATACAAATACCCTTCATTATCCAAGACTGCTTCCGGCTTGCCAAACTGTTCGATAAATATCTCTCGATCAGTTTGATCGACTTTTATGTCCAATAACTCATACTCGCCTGCAGTAGTTTTGTTAGTAAAGTAGTTTGGCTGCATCTTTGACTTCGTAGATGTTGTATTTGAACTGCTAACAGAATTCAATAAACTTAATATAAATAAACTTGTGGAGTAGAAAAAAAATATAAGTTGTTAAACACTTACTTTTTTAAAGTATTATTGTCGTTGACTTCCCAGGGGTACGTCAGTTGAAAAGGTCTGTGAAGAGTACTGTCGCGTTACACGTTTGTTGATCGATATAACAATAATATCATGATTATTATTCTTACTTTATACTATTACTAATTTCATATCGTACTATAATCTTTAATACTAAACATGGTTTCTTACTGTTTTACTGTAAACTGTTAAATTACTTAAAGTAAGAATATTATCACAATTACTGATATTGTTATTTGGTTCATGTTTGTCAGTAGTTGCTGGTATTGAACAGTCAGACGAAATATAAGTGTCTTCAAAATACTCTAAGTATTTGAAGAAATACTTAGAGAAAAATATGAGTTTCTTCAAATACCTAGAATTAATATTACAATTACTCACATAATAAATAAATAATTATTAAAGAGCCTTTTTAATAATAAACACTATTCGTACCCCCATTCGTAGGAATAAGTTTGATGCACTGTGTTACCTTTTATGATCCATGTCGTTTAATCGATGGTCATAAGATTTGAAAATTGTTTTAACATAAAATAAATGGCATCTGTTATTTGTGAATAGAATCCGTGTAAAGTGTCACATTGTGTGATTGTAGATGACGGAATGTGGACTGTGTTGAGAATCCAATGATTGTTTAACATGGATGTCATCATACACAAATATTGTTTATAGAAGATAAGGTGTTTGAGTAATTCCTTTTTAATGTATTCAAAGCCTCTAGATAAAAGTTTGGTTGTGAAGCCGAATTAAACTCTGTTAGAAGTAGCAAGAGAAGTTAGCTCCACCGAAACATAAACAATATCATTGTATGAACATTTTTCACACTCATTTATTTCTTGGAGGATCTTTGAGACTGGGTCCGAAGTAGTGTATTTTGAAAGCTAGCTCCAACAGCTATAACTATTTTTGAGTGTATTTAATTTTTTACGCAGAGCTAACAATAAGTTATCACATCTAAGCTCTTTCACCTGGCTACCAAGATCAGAGAGGCTCATATTCAAAGAAGCAAATTGTGCTTCTTGAGATTCGATAAATTTTTTTATTAGACGCTAGATTACTTGATTGGGACTAATTAAGATCTGAGAGCGCTTTCATTATAACTTCATTCAAATTTATTCTAATTTTACTAAAGTAAATGTGACATTTGCAGTTCTGCAAGAAACGCAATAAAGAAATAAAGGTAATTCCTGATATGATTTGTGTAGTACATACAAAATTTTTTTGTGTTTTAAGATTCCTTATTCTAAAGGGTGTTGTCTATTTTTGTGTATTAGTAAGTTAGTTAGTTACTTGTCCTCATTGTCAGCCGTCAACGGGTTGTCCAGATTCTCGCCTCCTTGAATACTTCGTTGCCGTGGAGTACCGTCTAACCTAAACCGGTATAACATTATGATGTTACAGCTGTACATAACATTTTAACCTTATGAGCTGAATCGACTTACTTGTCCTCATTGTCAGCCGTCAACGGGTTGTCCAGATTCTCGCCTCCTTGAATACTTCGTTGCCGTGGAGTACCGTCTAACCTAAACCGGTATAACATTATGATGTTACAGCTGTACATAACATTTTAACCTTATGAGCTGAATCGACTTGTCCTCATTGTCAGCCGTCAACGGGTTGTCCAGATTCTCGCCTCCTTGAATACTTCGTTGCCGTGGAGTACCGTCTAACCTAAACCGGTATAACATTATGATGTTACAGCTGTACATAACATTTTAACCTTATGAGCTGAATCGACTTGTCCTCATTGTCAGCCGTCAACGGGTTGTCCAGATTCTCGCCTCCTTGAATACTTCGTTGCCGTGGAGTACCGTCTAACCTAAACCGGTATAACATTATGATGTTACAGCTGTACATAACATTTTAACCTTATGAGCTGAATCGACTTACTTGTCCTCATTGTCAGCCGTCAACGGGTTGTCCAGATTCTCGCCTCCTTGAATACTTCGTTGCCGTGGAGTACCGTCTAACCTAAACCGGTATAACATTATGATGTTACAGCTGTACATAACATTTTAACCTTATGAGCTGAATCGACTTACTTGTCCTCATTGTCAGCCGTCAACGGTTTGTCCAGATTCTCGCCTCCTTGAATACTTCGTTGCCGTGGAGTACCGTCTAACCTAAACCGGTATAACATTATGATGTTACAGCTGTACATAACATTTTAACTTTATGAGCTGAATCGACTTACTTGTCCTCATTGTCAGCCGTCAACGGGTTGTCCAGATTCTCGCCTCCTTGAATACTTCGTTGCCGTGGAGTACCGTCTAACCTAAACCGGTATAACATTATGATGTTACAGCTGTACATAACATTTTAACTTTATGAGCTGAATCGACTTACTTGTCCTCATTGTCAGCCGTCAACGGGTTGTCCAGATTCTCGCCTCCTTGAATACTTCGTTGCCGTGGAGTACCGTCTAACCTAAACCGGTATAACATTATGATGTTACAGCTGTACATAACATTTTAACCTTATGAGCTGAATCGACTTACTTGTCCTCATTGTCAGCCGTCAACGGGTTGTCCAGATTCTCGCCTCCTTGAATACTTCGTTGCCGTGGAGTACCGTCTAACCTAAACCGGTATAACATTATGATGTTACAGCTGTACAAAACATTTTAACCTTATGAGCTGAATCGACTTACTTGTCCTCATTGTCAGCCGTCAACGGGTTGTCCAGATTCTCGCCTCCTTGAATACTTCGTTGCCGTGGAGTACCGTCTAACCTAAACCGGTATAACATTATGATGTTACAGCTGTACAAAACATTTTAACCTTATGAGCTGAATCGACTTACTTGTCCTCATTGTCAGCCGTCAACGGGTTGTCCAGATTCTCGCCTCCTTGAATACTTCGTTGCCGTGGAGTACCGTCTAACCTAAACCGGTATAACATTATGATGTTACAGCTGTACATAACATTTTAACCTTATGAGCTGAATCGACTTACTTGTCCTCATTGTCAGCCGTCAACGGGTTGTCCAGATTCTCGCCTCCTTGAATACTTCGTTGCCGTGGAGTACCGTCTAACCTAAACCGGTATAACATTATGATGTTACAGCTGTACATAACATTTTAACCTTATGAGCTGAATCGACTTGTCCTCATTGTCAGCCGTCAACGGGTTGTCCAGATTCTCGCCTCCTTGAATACTTCGTTGCCGTGGAGTACCGTCTAACCTAAACCGGTATAACATTATGATGTTACAGCTGTACAAAACATTTTAACCTTATGAGCTGAATCGACTTACTTGTCCTCATTGTCAGCCGTCAACGGTTTGTCCAGATTCTCGCCTCCTTGAATACTTCGTTGCCGTGGAGTACCGTCTAACCTAAACCGGTATAACATTATGATGTTACAGCTGTACATAACATTTTAACCTTATGAGCTGAATCGACTTACTTGTCCTCATTGTCAGCCGTCAACGGTTTGTCCAGATTCTCGCCTCCTTGAATACTTCGTTGCCGTGGAGTACCGTCTAACCTAAACCGGTATAACATTATGATGTTACAGCTGTACATAACATTTTAACCTTATGAGCTGAATCGACTTACTTGTCCTCATTGTCAGCCGTCAACGGGTTGTCCAGATTCTCGCCTCCTTGAATACTTCGTTGCCGTGGAGTACCGTCTAACCTAAACCGGTATAACATTATGATGTTACAGCTGTACATAACATTTTAACCTTATGAGCTGAATCGACTTACTTGTCCTCATTGTCAGCCGTCAACGGGTTGTCCAGATTCTCGCCTCCTTGAATACTTCGTTGCCGTGGAGTACCGTCTAACCTAAACCGGTATAACATTATGATGTTACAGCTGTACAAAACATTTTAACCTTATGAGCTGAATCGACTTGTCCTCATTGTCAGCCGTCAACGGGTTGTCCAGATTCTCGCCTCCTTGAATACTTCGTTGCCGTGGAGTACCGTCTAACCTAAACCGGTATAACATTATGATGTTACAGCTGTACATAACATTTTAACCTTATGAGCTGAATCGACTTGTCCTCATTGTCAGCCGTCAACGGGTTGTCCAGATTCTCGCCTCCTTGAATACTTCGTTGCCGTGGAGTACCGTCTAACCTAAACCGGTATAACATTATGATGTTACAGCTGTACAAAACATTTTAACCTTATGAGCTGAATCGACTTACTTGTCCTCTATGTCAGCCGTCAACGGTTTGTCCAGATTCTCGCCTCCTTGAATACTTCGTTGCCGTGGAGTACCGTCTAACCTAAACCGGTATAACATTATGATGTTACAGCTGTACATAACATTTTAACCTTATGAGCTGAATCGACTTACTTGTCCTCATTGTCAGCCGTCAACGGGTTGTCCAGATTCTCGCCTCCTTGAATACTTCGTTGCCGTGGAGTACCGTCTAACCTAAACCGGTATAACATTATGATGTTACAGCTGTACATAACATTTTAACCTTATGAGCTGAATCGACTTACTTGTCCTCATTGTCAGCCGTCAACGGGTTGTCCAGATTCTCGCCTCCTTGAATACTTCGTTGCCGTGGAGTACCGTCTAACCTAAACCGGTATAACATTATGATGTTACAGCTGTACATAACATTTTAACCTTATGAGCTGAATCGACTTACTTGTCCTCATTGTCAGCCGTCAACGGGTTGTCCAGATTCTCGCCTCCTTGAATACTTCGTTGCCGTGGAGTACCGTCTAACCTAAACCGGTATAACATTATGATGTTACAGCTGTACATAACATTTTAACTTTATGAGCTGAATCAACTTACTTGTCCTCATTGTCAGCCGTCAACGGGTTGTCCAGATTCTCGCCTCCTTGAATACTTCGTTGCCGTGGAGTACCGTCTAACCTAAACCGGTATAACATTATGATGTTACAGCTGTACAAAACATTTTAACCTTATGAGCTGAATCGACTTACTTGTCCTCATTGTCAGCCGTCAACGGGTTGTCCAGATTCTCGCCTCCTTGAATACTTCGTTGCCGTGGAGTACCGTCTAACCTAAACCGGTATAACATTATGATGTTACAGCTGTACATAACATTTTAACTTTATGAGCTGAATCAACTTACTTGTCCTCATTGTCAGCCGTCAACGGGTTGTCCAGATTCTCGCCTCCTTGAATACTTCGTTGCCGTGGAGTACCGCGTAACCTAAACCAGTATAACATTATGATGTTACAGCTGTACATAACATTTTAACTTAGGTTAGACGGTACTCCACGGAAACGAAGTATTCAAGGAGGCGGGAATCTGGACAAATCGTTGACGGCTGACAATGAGGACAAGTAAGTCGATTCAGCTCATAAGGTTAAAATGTTATGTATAGCTGTAACATCATAATGTTATACCGGTTTAGGTTAGACGGTACTCCACGGCAACGAAGTATTCAAGGAGGCGGGAATCTGGACAAATCGTTGACGGCTGACAATGAGGACAAATAAGTCGATTCAGCTCATAAGGTTAAAATGTTATGTACAGCTGTAACATCATAATGTTATACCGGTTTAGGTTAGACAGTACTCCACGGCAACGAAGTATTCAAGGAAGCGGGAATCTGGACAAACCGTTGACGGCTGACAATGAGGACAAATAAGTCGATTCAGCTCATAAGGTTAAAATGTTATGTACAGCTGGAACATCATAATGTTATACCGGTTTAGGTTAGACGGTACTCCACGGCAACGAATTATTCAAGGAGGCGGGAATCTGGACAAACCGTTGACGGCTGACAATGAGGACAAATAAGTCAATTCAGCTCATAAGGTTAAAATGTTATGTACAGCTGTAACATCATAATGTTATACCGGTTTAGGTTAGACGGTACTCCACGGCAACGAATTATTCAAGGAGGCGGGAATCTGGACAAACCGTTGACGGCTTACAATGAGGACAAATAAGTCGATTCAGCTCATAAGGTTAAAATGTTATGTACAGCTGTAACATCATAATGTTATACCGGTTTAGGTTAGACGGTACTCCACAGCAACGAAGTATTTAAGGAGGCGGGAATCTGGACAAATCGTTGACGGCTGACAATGAGGACAAATAAGTCGATTCAGCTCATAAGGTTAAATTGTTATGTACAGCTGTAACATCATAATGTTATACCGGTTTAGGTTAGACGGTACTCCACGGCAAGGAAGTATTCAAGGAGGCGGGAATCTGGACAAACCGTTGAAGGCTGACAATGAGGACAAATAAGTCGATTCAGCTCATAAGGTTAAAATGTTATGTACAGCTGTAACATCATAATGTTATACCAGTTTAGGTTAGACGGTACTCCACGGCAACGAATTATTCAAGGAGGCGGGAATCTGGACAAACCGTTGACGGCTGACAATGAGGACAAATAAGTCGATTCAGCTCATAAGGTTAAAATGTTATGTACAGCTGTAACATCATAATGTTATACCGGTTTAGGTTAGACGGTACTCCACGGCAACGAAGTATTCAAGGAGGCGGGAATCTGGACAAACCGTTGACGGCTGACAATGAGGACAAATAAGTCGATTCAGCTCATAAGGTTAAAATGTTATGTACAGCTGTAACATCATAATGTTATACCGGTTTAGGTTAGACGGTACTCCACAGCAACGAAGTATTTAAGGAGGCGGGAATCTGGACAAACCGTTGACGGCTGACAATGAGGACAAATAAGTCGATTCAGCTCATAAGGTTAAAATGTTATGTACAGCTGTAACATCATAATGTTATACCGGTTTAGGTTAGACGGTACTCCACGGCAACGAAGTATTCAAGGAGGCGGGAATCTGGACAAACCGTTGAAGGCTGACAATGAGGACAAATAAGTCGATTCAGCTCATAAGGTTAAAATGTTATGTACAGCTGTAACATCATAATGTTATACCGGTTTAGGTTAGACGGTACTCCACGGCAACGAAGTATTCAAGGAGGCGGGAATCTGGACAAATCGTTGACGGCTGACAATGAGGACAAATAAGTCGATTTAGCTCATAAGGTTAAAATGTTATGTACAGCTGTAACATCATAATGTTATACCGGTTTAGGTTAGACGGTACTCCACGGCAACGAAGTATTCAAGGAGGCGGGAATCTGGACAAACCGTTGACGGCTGACAATGAGGACAAATAAGTCGATTCAGCTCATAAGGTTAAAATGTTATGTACAGCTGTAACATCATAATGTTATACCGGTTTAGGTTAGACGGTACTCCACGGCAACGAAGTATTTAAGGAGGCGGGAATCTGGACAAACCGTTGAAGGCTGACAATGAGGACAAATAAGTCGATTCAGCTCATAAGGTTAAAATGTTATGTACAGCTGTAACATCATAATGTTATACCGGTTTAGGTTAGACGGTACTCCACGGCAACGAAGTATTCAAGGAGGCGGGAATCTGGACAAACCGTTGACGGCTGACAATGAGGACAAATAAGTCGATTCAGCTCATAAGGTTAAAATGTTATGTACAGCTGTAACATCATAATGTTATACCGGTTTAGGTTAGACGGTACTCCACGGCAACGAAGTATTCAAGGAGGCGGGAATCTGGACAAACCGTTGACGGCTGACAATGAGGACAAATAAGTCGATTCAGCTCATAAGGTTAAAATGTTATGTACAGCTGTAACATCATAATGTTATACCGGTTTAGGTTAGACGGTACTCCACGGCAACGAAGTATTCAAGGAGGCGGGAATCTGGACAAACCGTTGACGGCTGACAATGAGGACAAATAAGTCGATTCAGCTCATAAGGTTAAAATGTTATGTACAGCTGTAACATCATAATGTTATACCGGTTTAGGTTAGACGGTACTCCACGGCAACGAAGTATTCAAGGAGGCGGGAATCTGGACAAACCGTTGACGGCTGACAATGAGGACAAATAAGTCGATTTAGCTCATAAGGTTAAAATGTTATGTACAGCTGTAACATCATAATGTTATACCGGTTTAGGTTAGACGGTACTCCACGGCAACGAATTATTCAAGGAGGCGGGAATCTGGACAAACCGTTGACGGCTGACAATGAGGACAAATAAGTCGATTCAGCTCATAAGGTTAAAATGTTATGTACAGCTGTAACATCATAATGTTATACCGGTTTAGGTTAGACGGTACTCCACGGCAACGAAGTATTCAAGGAGGCGGGAATCTGGACAAACCGTTGACGGCTGACAATGAGGACAAATAAGTCGATTCAGCTCATAAGGTTAAAATGTTATGTACAGCTGTAACATCATAATGTTATACCGGTTTAGGTTAGACGGTACTCCACGGCAACGAAGTATTCAAGGAGGCGGGAATCTGGACAAACCGTTGACGGCTGACAATGAGGACAAATAAGTCGATTCAGCTCATAAGGTTAAAATGTTATGTACAGCTGTAACATCATAATGTTATACCGGTTTAGGTTAGACGGTACTCCACGGCAACGAAGTATTCAAGGAGGCGGGAATCTGGACAAACCGTTGACGGCTGACAATGAGGACAAATAAGTCGATTCAGCTCATAAGGTTAAAATGTTATGTACAGCTGTAACATCATAATGTTATACCGGTTTAGGTTAGACGGTACTCCACGGCAACGAAGTATTCAAGGAGGCGGGAATCTGGACAAACCGTTGACGGCTGACAATGAGGACAAATAAGTCGATTCAGCTCATAAGGTTAAAATGTTATGTACAGCTGTAACATCATAATGTTATACCGGTTTAGGTTAGACGGTACTCCACGGCAACGAAGTATTCAAGGAGGCGGGAATCTGGACAAACCGTTGAAGGCTGACAATGAGGACAAATAAGTCGATTCAGCTCATAAGGTTAAAATGTTATGTACAGCTGTAACATCATAATGTTATACCGGTTTAGGTTAGACGGTACTCCACGGCAACGAAGTATTCAAGGAGGCGGGAATCTGGACAAACCGTTGACGGCTGACAATGAGGACAAATAAGTCGATTCAGCTCATAAGGTTAAAATGTTATGTACAGCTGTAACATCATAATGTTATACCGGTTTAGGTTAGACGGTACTCCACGGCAACGAAGTATTCAAGGAGGCGGGAATCTGGACAAACCGTTGACGGCTGACAATGAGGACAAATAAGTCGATTCAGCTCATAAGGTTAAAATGTTATGTACAGCTGTAACATCATAATGTTATACCGGTTTAGGTTAGACGGTACTCCACGGCAACGAAGTATTCAAGGAGGCGGGAATCTGGACAAACCGTTGACGGCTGACAATGAGGACAAATAAGTCGATTCAGCTCATAAGGTTAAAATGTTATGTACAGCTGTAACATCATAATGTTATACCGGTTTAGGTTAGACGGTACTCCACGGCAACGAAGTATTCAAGGAGGCGGGAATCTGGACAAACCGTTGACGGCTGACAATGAGGACAAATAAGTCGATTCAGCTCATAAGGTTAAAATGTTATGTACAGCTGTAACATCATAATGTTATACCGGTTTAGGTTAGACGGTACTCCACGGCAACGAAGTATTCAAGGAGGCGGGAATCTGGACAAACCGTTGACGGCTGACAATGAGGACAAATAAGTCGATTCAGCTCATAAGGTTAAAATGTTATGTACAGCTGTAACATCATAATGTTATACCGGTTTAGGTTAGACGGTACTCCACGGCAACGAAGTATTCAAGGAGGCGGGAATCTGGACAAACCGTTGACGGCTGACAATGAGGACAAATAAGTCGATTCAGCTCATAAGGTTAAAATGTTATGTACAGCTGTAACATCATAATGTTATACCGGTTTAGGTTAGACGGTACTCCACGGCAACGAAGTATTCAAGGAGGCGGGAATCTGGACAAACCGTTGACGGCTGACAATGAGGACAAATAAGTCGATTCAGCTCATAAGGTTAAAATGTTATGTACAGCTGTAACATCATAATGTTATACCGGTTTAGGTTAGACGGTACTCCACGGCAACGAAGTATTCAAGGAGGCGGGAATCTGGACAAACCGTTGACGGCTGACAATGAGGACAAATAAGTCGATTCAGCTCATAAGGTTAAAATGTTATGTACAGCTGTAACATCATAATGTTATACCGGTTTAGGTTAGACGGTACTCCACGGCAACGAATTATTCAAGGAGGCGGGAATCTGGACAAACCGTTGACGGCTGACAATGAGGACAAATAAGTCGATTCAGCTCATAAGGTTAAAATGTTATGTACAGCTGTAACATCATAATGTTATACCGGTTTAGGTTAGACGGTACTCCACGGCAACGAAGTATTCAAGGAGGCGGGAATCTGGACAAACCGTTGACGGCTGACAATGAGGACAAATAAGTCGATTCAGCTCATAAGGTTAAAATGTTATGTACAGCTGTAACATCATAATGTTATACCGGTTTAGGTTAGACGGTACTCCACGGCAACGAAGTATTCAAGGAGGCGGGAATCTGGACAAACCGTTGAAGGCTGACAATGAGGACAAATAAGTCGATTCAGCTCATAAGGTTAAAATGTTATGTACAGCTGTAACATCATAATGTTATACCGGTTTAGGTTAGACGGTACTCCACGGCAACGAAGTATTCAAGGAGGCGGGAATCTGGACAAACCGTTGACGGCTGACAATGAGGACAAATAAGTCGATTCAGCTCATAAGGTTAAAATGTTATGTACAGCTGTAACATCATAATGTTATACCGGTTTAGGTTAGACGGTACTCCACGGCAACGAAGTATTCAAGGAGGCGGGAATCTGGACAAACCGTTGACGGCTGACAATGAGGACAAATAAGTCGATTCAGCTCATAAGGTTAAAATGTTATGTACAGCTGTAACATCATAATGTTATACCGGTTTAGGTTAGACGGTACTCCACGGCAACGAAGTATTCAAGGAGGCGGGAATCTGGACAAACCGTTGACGGCTGACAATGAGGACAAATAAGTCGATTCAGCTCATAAGGTTAAAATGTTATGTACAGCTGTAACATCATAATGTTATACCGGTTTAGGTTAGACGGTACTCCACGGCAAGGAAGTATTCAAGGAGGCGGGAATCTGGACAAACCGTTGAAGGCTGACAATGAGGACAAATAAGTCGATTCAGCTCATAAGGTTAAAATGTTATGTACAGCTGTAACATCATAATGTTATACCGGTTTAGGTTAGACGGTACTCCACGGCAACGAAGTATTCAAGGAGGCGGGAATCTGGACAAACCGTTGACGGCTGACAATGAGGACAAATAAGTCGATTCAGCTCATAAGGTTAAAATGTTATGTACAGCTGTAACATCATAATGTTATACCGGTTTAGGTTAGACGGTACTCCACGGCAACGAAGTATTCAAGGAGGCGGGAATCTGGACAAACCGTTGACGGCTGACAATGAGGACAAATAAGTCGATTCAGCTCATAAGGTTAAAATGTTATGTACAGCTGTAACATCATAATGTTATACCGGTTTAGGTTAGACGGTACTCCACGGCAACGAAGTATTTAAGGAGGCGGGAATCTGGACAAACCGTTGAAGGCTGACAATGAGGACAAATAAGTCGATTCAGCTCATAAGGTTAAAATGTTATGTACAGCTGTAACATCATAATGTTATACCGGTTTAGGTTAGACGGTACTCCACGGCAACGAAGTATTCAAGGAGGCGGGAATCTGGACAAACCGTTGAAGGCTGACAATGAGGACAAATAAGTCGATTCAGCTCATAAGGTTAAAATGTTATGTACAGCTGTAACATCATAATGTTATACCGGTTTAGGTTAGACGGTACTCCACGGCAACGAAGTATTCAAGGAGGCGGGAATCTGGACAAACCGTTGACGGCTGACAATGAGGACAAATAAGTCGATTCAGCTCATAAGGTTAAAATGTTATGTACAGCTGTAACATCATAATGTTATACCGGTTTAGGTTAGACGGTACTCCACGGCAACGAAGTATTCAAGGAGGCGGGAATCTGGACAAACCGTTGACGGCTGACAATGAGGACAAATAAGTCGATTCAGCTCATAAGGTTAAAATGTTATGTACAGCTGTAACATCATAATGTTATACCGGTTTAGGTTAGACGGTACTCCACGGCAACGAAGTATTCAAGGAGGCGGGAATCTGGACAAACCGTTGACGGCTGACAATGAGGACAAATAAGTCGATTCAGCTCATAAGGTTAAAATGTTATGTACAGCTGTAACATCATAATGTTATACCGGTTTAGGTTAGACGGTACTCCACGGCAACGAAGTATTCAAGGAGGCGGGAATCTGGACAAACCGTTGACGGCTGACAATGAGGACAAATAAGTCGATTCAGCTCATAAGGTTAAAATGTTATGTACAGCTGTAACATCATAATGTTATACCGGTTTAGGTTAGACGGTACTCCACGGCAACGAAGTATTCAAGGAGGCGGGAATCTGGACAAACCGTTGACGGCTGACAATGAGGACAAATAAGTCGATTCAGCTCATAAGGTTAAAATGTTATGTACAGCTGTAACATCATAATGTTATACCGGTTTAGGTTAGACGGTACTCCACGGCAACGAAGTATTCAAGGAGGCGGGAATCTGGACAAACCGTTGACGGCTGACAATGAGGACAAATAAGTCGATTCAGCTCATAAGGTTAAAATGTTATGTACAGCTGTAACATCATAATGTTATACCGGTTTAGGTTAGACGGTACTCCACGGCAACGAAGTATTCAAGGAGGCGGGAATCTGGACAAACCGTTGACGGCTGACAATGAGGACAAATAAGTCGATTCAGCTCATAAGGTTAAAATGTTATGTACAGCTGTAACATCATAATGTTATACCGGTTTAGGTTAGACGGTACTCCACGGCAAGGAAGTATTCAAGGAGGCGGGAATCTGGACAAACCGTTGAAGGCTGACAATGAGGACAAATAAGTCGATTCAGCTCATAAGGTTAAAATGTTATGTACAGCTGTAACATCATAATGTTATACCGGTTTAGGTTAGACGGTACTCCACGGCAACGAAGTATTCAAGGAGGCGGGAATCTGGACAAACCGTTGAAGGCTGACAATGAGGACAAATAAGTCGATTCAGCTCATAAGGTTAAAATGTTATGTACAGCTGTAACATCATAATGTTATACCGGTTTAGGTTAGACGGTACTCCACGGCAACGAAGTATTCAAGGAGGCGGGAATCTGGACAAACCGTTGACGGCTGACAATGAGGACAAATAAGTCGATTCAGCTCATAAGGTTAAAATGTTATGTACAGCTGTAACATCATAATGTTATACCGGTTTAGGTTAGACGGTACTCCACGGCAACGAAGTATTCAAGGAGGCGGGAATCTGGACAAACCGTTGACGGCTGACAATGAGGACAAATAAGTCGATTCAGCTCATAAGGTTAAAATGTTATGTACAGCTGTAACATCATAATGTTATACCGGTTTAGGTTAGACGGTACTCCACGGCAACGAAGTATTCAAGGAGGCGGGAATCTGGACAAACCGTTGACGGCTGACAATGAGGACAAATAAGTCGATTCAGCTCATAAGGTTAAAATGTTATGTACAGCTGTAACATCATAATGTTATACCGGTTTAGGTTAGACGGTACTCCACGGCAACGAATTATTCAAGGAGGCGGGAATCTGGACAAACCGTTGACGGCTGACAATGAGGACAAATAAGTCGATTCAGCTCATAAGGTTAAAATGTTATGTACAGCTGTAACATCATAATGTTATACCGGTTTAGGTTAGACGGTACTCCACGGCAACGAAGTATTTAAGGAGGCGGGAATCTGGACAAACCGTTGACGGCTGACAATGAGGACAAATAAGTCGATTCAGCTCATAAGGTTAAAATGTTATGTACAGCTGTAACATCATAATGTTATACCGGTTTAGGTTAGACGGTACTCCACGGCAAGGAAGTATTCAAGGAGGCGGGAATCTGGACAAACCGTTGACGGCTGACAATGAGGACAAATAAGTCGATTCAGCTCATAAGGTTAAAATGTTATGTACAGCTGTAACATCATAATGTTATACCGGTTTAGGTTAGACGGTACTCCACGGCAACGAAGTATTCAAGGAGGCGGGAATCTGGACAAACCGTTGAAGGCTGACAATGAGGACAAATAAGTCGATTCAGCTCATAAGGTTAAAATGTTATGTACAGCTGTAACATCATAATGTTATACCGGTTTAGGTTAGACGGTACTCCACGGCAACGAAGTATTCAAGGAGGCGGGAATCTGGACAAACCGTTGACGGCTGACAATGAGGACAAATAAGTCGATTCAGCTCATAAGGTTAAAATGTTATGTACAGCTGTAACATCATAATGTTATACCGGTTTAGGTTAGACGGTACTCCACGGCAACGAAGTATTCAAGGAGGCGGGAATCTGGACAAACCGTTGACGGCTGACAATGAGGACAAATAAGTCGATTTAGCTCATAAGGTTAAAATGTTATGTACAGCTGTAACATCATAATGTTATACCGGTTTAGGTTAGACGGTACTCCACGGCAACGAAGTATTCAAGGAGGCGGGAATCTGGACAAATCGTTGACGGCTGACAATGAGGACAAATAAGTCGATTCAGCTCATAAGGTTAAAATGTTATGTACAGCTGTAACATCATAATGTTATACCGGTTTAGGTTAGACGGTACTCCACGGCAACGAAGTATTCAAGGAGGCGGGAATCTGGACAAACCGTTGACGGCTGACAATGAGGACAAATAAGTCGATTCAGCTCATAAGGTTAAAATGTTATGTACAGCTGTAACATCATAATGTTATACCGGTTTAGGTTAGACGGTACTCCACGGCAACGAAGTATTCAAGGAGGCGGGAATCTGGACAAACCGTTGACGGCTGACAATGAGGACAAGTAACTAACTAACTTACTAATACACAAAAATAGACAACACCCTTTAGAATAAGGAATCTTAAAACACAAAAAAAATTTGTATGTACTACACAAATCATATCAGGAATTACTTTTATTTCTTTATTGCATTTCTTGCAGAACTGCAAATGTCACATTTACTTTAGTAAAATTAGAATAAATTTGAATGAAGTCATAATGAAAGCGCTCTCAGATCTTTATTAGTCCCAATCAAGTAATCTAGCGTCTAATAAAAAACTTTATCGAATCTCAAGAAGCACAATTTGCTTCTTTGAATATGAGCCTCTCTGATCTTGGTAGCCAGGTGAAAGAGCTTGGATGTGATAACTTATTGTTAGCTCTGCGTAAAAAATTAAATACACTCAAAAATAGTTATAGCTGTTGGAGCTAGCTTTCAAAATACACTATTTCGGACCCAATCTCAAAGATCCTCCAAGAAATAAATGAGTGTGAAAAATGTTCATACAATGATATTGTTTATGTTTCGGTGGAGCTAACTTCTCTTGCTACTTCTAACAGAGTTTAATTCGGCTTCACAACCAAACTTTTAACCAAACTTTTTTTAATAATTGAACAAATATCTACTCAAATATTTTTAATATTACTTACACTTAGATTTTGTGCGTTGGTTTCAGCTAACTTTGTAAAAGTTTCTCGCGCATCTCCTAATTGTGTCTTAAATTTTTTTTAGCTAAATCAAAATTGTATAATATTGCATTTTAAGTTTAAAAAAAAAAAAGTGAAAATAATATAAGCCATTACCCATATTGTTTTGAATTTGAATTAATTTTCTTTTACGACTATTATTTGTTTTTGAGGTTGCTCAGTACTAGAAGAAGGAATATGAGTAGAAATGAACGTCGGTTCTTCTAGCTCATTATATTCACTATCAAAGATTTCCTCGCAAACTATATTTAAATTTTCTTCCTTAAGTAAATCACCTGAAATTGTTTTAAAATTAATCTGCATATAATTGTTTTTAAAAATGAAAAATTTTAAAATAATTACTGTCATCATCAACAGGATATTTAATTGATATGCTTCTATGTTCTGCGTTTAAAATTGAATAGTCGCCTATGGCTAAACGTTCTACATCGTCAACCTAAACATAAAACCATTTTACATAACAATCCTAATCCTAAAATTGCTAAAGAAATAGAATAAATAGTACCTAAAAAACTAAACAATTATTAAGTTAAAGTTCTCAATTTTATTACTTGATCTTCAGGAAACGAATCAGGACACGTTGTTCCTTCCACATATTCATAACCAATTAAACCGAGAACCTTTTTCTCGCGGTCATTTAACTCGGGAATCGTTATGCTTTTATTGCCAGTTAATTGTTTGGCATTCCAAAGGGCTGAAGCTTGTTTGGATACTTTAGTCTTTAAGTCCCTCCATGACTACAAAAATTATAAGAACATTTTAAGAAATATTATATAATTTATATAAATAACAAACAAAATCCTATTATATAAAAAGAAGCACTAAAATTATTGTAATTTGGTTTTTACAATTTAATTAAATACTAACCTCTTTCCATGATTTTACATCCTTTTCCTTTACCCCCGGGTTACGCAAATTTTTTAACTGCCCAACCAGTTCATCCCATGAACCTCTCAAGCTATCCCTTTCGTGAAGAGATTGAAATTTACTAGTAGCTACACGTGGACGCTGCACCATGTAGTCTACAAAAAAAGCCAGTTGTTTCTCATTTCTTCTTCCTTATCTCGTTTTTTTATGGTTCACAGCATTCTGATCTTGGTTACTGGATGACAATGAATAATTAAATATTTATGATCAATGAAAACAAATATATATTTAGTTATGTGTTTAGTTATTAAATCAATAACTAAACAATTACCTGCTTTGGGTATTTGCTGTATCCATGGTAATTAATAAATACAAATATTTAAAAATATTACTGGGATTGCCCCATATACTCTTAAAAATTCTCTTAGAAATTAGTGCTACAACAGTAGTGTGTTTTATTTCATTTTTCTATTGTTATAGCAGTAGTGATATAATATGTATATATACATCAACTTTTGAAATTACTGCTATAGCAGTAGCTGTCCACTAATGTGTTAAGTAAACTGATGTTTATTAATAGTAGACATACACTGTACACATATTGTATGTGTTAGGTCTATGTAGTAATTAAACCTAACCTACTGCTAATAACTAGTGTTATTATAAATTGGAATATATGAATTTATTAATATTTAAAACAAAAGATGTGTATAGGCGCTATACATTTTAAAATGAACTATATTATATAACTTTATCCATTAAAGAATTATACTTGGATACCTACCACAGTAACTATGTAACTAATAATATTCACTTACCTCTTGTTCATATTTAAATTTAATGTGTATAACGTTTCAAATTTAATGTTAAATTAAAAATTAAAAAATCACTCATCGGGATGATAAGATTCAAACGATAAACATGCGTTCATAATCCCTTCGCAGCGCTGTGATTGGATAAAATATATAACCTCTCTGAAAATTATCGTTAGCTACCGGCTTCTTATCGACTTGGTGGCTACAATTATCGACTACAATTTGTAAACGCAAACTATCGATAGAGTCATTTACAGAATCGCAAAGTCGATAACAAAATTTGATACATTTTAGAAATTTCGATAATAAGCAATTATCGAATTAATTCGGTAACACAGTATCGAGTTACAGAATCGATCTATTGTTTGGCTAGTAAAATAGGCTAGGCCGAAACGACAGTTCTCGTCTTTGCCACCGGTGGTATTGTTATCATTATCGTTATCAATAACTCCCAATTTGCCATTGTCCAATGTCCGTTTCTGTTTCATGGGGCTTCCAGTGCTTTAACCTCCCACTGCAAACCAGGGCATACTAGATATACTAGGTAAAAACGGAATTCATGGTAACAGTTGTGGCCATGAAAGACGAGGAAATCATGATATCCTTCGGAACCATGGTATACGTGTTGGTTGAGATAATCAAGGTAAATTCGTTGGCTGGGTAACCGCGGCGGTATTAACAATGGTAATAGCTGTCTTAATGATAATACTATGAT